ACCACCACTCCCCACCTCCTTACCACCACCACCACCACCTCCTCCAGCAACCATCATCATCTCCGGCAACCACCACCTCCGGCTACCTCCACCTCCGGCCGCCAGCCACCGGCCACCACCACCTTCGGCCACCGGCCACCGTCACCTCCGGCCGTCGGTCACCGCCACCTCCGGCCGGCGGCCACCAGCCACCTCCGACCATAACCACCTCCAGTCGCGGCCACAACCACCTCCCGTCGCGGCCACCGCCACCTCCGGCCGTCGGCCACCGCAACCCGACTCTGGCCACTAGCCACCCTTATCACCCTTACAACACCAAAAGAGTAATTTTATCAACCCCTTATCCTAGTTTTCTATTTTTTCAAAAAATGTGCTATATTCTTGTTTTGAAATCCGAAATGAATATTCGCCTAATTCACCCTATTTATTTTTTGTTCAAAAAGAAACAAAACGAAACAAACAAACAAAAAAATATTTTTCTTATCTTCAAATTGCCTTTTGTGTTTCCTAAAATCCACATCTATATTAATATTTTTGAAGTACCTTTTGTGTTCTACTCTTTTATTTTATAATATTTTCATAATTAAACCCTTACCATTTAATTAAATAGAAAAAGTTTAAGATAAATTTTGTAATTAAATCATATTAAAATTGTAAAACTAGAAATCAGTATTTATTACACTTAACAAAATTTCCTAAAATCTCTTCCTAATAAATCAAATATTTCTCCAACATCTTTATAGCATCTTATTTGTTTTTAATTTTATATTATTACATAAACATATGTATGATAAAAATATATATTTGTTTTAACATATGTTGCAATTTGAATTTTTAGAAGCGGATGTATATTACTCAAACGATACAAAAAATGGACATACTAAATTATTATTGATAATTGTGTAGCACGGGTCATGTGATGGAACGGATTATAATTTATGTAATTATGATTATTGATATTTTACGGGTTATCTACTATAGTATAACTCAAAAAATATTTTAATATGAAATTATACTATGTAAACAAATATTTTGTCAATATCATTTTATTATTTTAAGTATTTTACTTATTTAGTTAATTTGATCAAATTACGATTATATAAAAAATAAATTATCATATAATATCTATGAGTTAAATCATAGAATTAACAATCAAAATATAATAGTACACTCTTATATACCAGAAAAACTAAAAAAATATACATTTTAGAATATCGTCCCGCGGCTTCAAATCTAATATTTATATCATAATTCATATATAACCACACAAAACAAAACTCGTTGTCCACGTTTCTTTCATTCTATCAACATTGTCTCTTTCACTCTTTCATCACAACTGTAATTATAGTTCTAACAGCTAACCAAACACGTGTTATTCCCGCATGTGAGTAATTTTTGTGTTCTTCGTATTTTCTATTTACTATAACAGTTTTATTTTCTTCATGACTTTTTACAGTTACAAGTAACCAAGTTTTGTTAATTTTCTTCTTTGTACTAACTATTATAAAAGTGACTAAGTCTTCTTGCTTTTTAGAAGTCATATAGTGTCTTTGTGTGTGTTTTAGTGTGTTTTGGGTGTCTCTTAAATCATTTGAGGTTAAGATAATAGAAGATACATGTTTGAATGCAAAGTGGAGAATTGATGATGCAGATCCAGTTCGAAGCCCCTCAAAGATCAACTAAGATGAAGGCTTTAACTTGTTATTTAGCTTTGGAACTCTGAACAAAAGTGATAGGAAATCGAAATAGATTTCCAACGGTGGTGGTTTAAAGCCAATCACAGTTATCGTTCATGAGTTATGACCGATTTAGTGAGAGTATATCCATACAGAACGAAGATAGAAGCCATCGAGAATTCCAATCGACCAACAGATCGGTTGGAGTGAAACAGATACCAAAAAAAGTTTTCAATCGACCTTACAATCTACCGGTTGGATATAAAGACTTTAGGTTTGACCAGGTTCATCTCGGGTTGACCCGGATCGATTTCTTAGACTATATAACTGTTTCAAGGCCTAAAAATATGGATCTTATGCTTTCTTTTTTGCTCGTTTTCAATTTCCTTTTCTATCTTTGGAACCTTTGTATGAATCTTAAGTACATTTATGTAATTTAATCTTGTTCTCTTTTCATTTTATCTTCTAATTTTCTCTACTTATGTTTCTTCAAAGATCAATTTCATTGCTTTGTGGTTACATGATCATGAGTGAGTAGTCTTTTAGAGTTCTTGGGTTTTGTAGATTAGGATGATTAAATAGTTGGGTTATGGAGTTTAGGATTATATTTTTTAAGATATTTGCTTATTAGTTGTTAATAAGGCTAAATCAATCTTGATATTGTTGATTTAGAGCTTAGGAATTTCACGCCCAGAAGGTGTTCGATAAAATTCCCGAACCAAAACTTTTAAGTGCTTTTCATTCCTAGCCTTTGGAAATTGGTGATTAGTGGTTAGATAGACTTGTTTATAATGCTTATTGATCATTTGATTCCCTTTGAAAGAAGTTGATAATTGATTGATTAGTAAAGGGATTAATCTCATGGAAATGTGTTAGTCTTGCTTATTGTTCTATGGCCTAAGGATCATTCTTTGTTAGAAGTTGTTTCAGCCTTCATAACACGTCTCTTTGTCATTCTAGTCAATTGGCTTAACCTAAGAGTTAGTCTTTTGATTATTGCTTTCTTTCATCTTGTTTTGCATTATTTAGTTTATATTGTATTGTTAGTCAAGTTTAGAAAATCAAATCAGATATCTTATTAAGCTTAAATTAAGCAAATTTATGTATTCTTGGTGTGTTAATTAATTGATTCTTGAAGTTCGATACTTTAATTGATCGGGTAAAATCACTACATCACATAACAAACTGATCCGTGAGGCATCGGTTCTCAAAAATAACATCGTTGTTGAACGTTATGGATATTTGTTATTCAAAAGTATCAATACTCATAAATTTTTGTATTTTTAAGCATTGTACCTTTTTATTTTACTTTGTAACGTTTAACCATCCGAGATGATTGGTTGTTATGTACTTCTATTCCGTATGTATTTATAATTCGTAAAATAAAGAACGCATGGTGCGTGCATACGGATAATGGATAGGTTTACTGAGTAATCCATGTGTTTAACATTTGATCTTAGGTCACTACATTTGGAATCTTATAAATATATTAATAAATGAATGTATGAAGCTTTATAAATTACATTGACATAACACACGCATATGCATATACATAAAACTTGCATATAAAACAAAAGCAAGTTAGGTCCTAGGAATCCAGTAATTTAGAATAGTCCAAAGAAAACATGGCTTCATGTGTTTTTCTACTTATTTCAAGATCTACTATACTTATTGACTAAAATAACATGCAAGTATTCTCCTCGTACATAACCTTGTTAATATAGTTAATGACTACAACAAGTCAATAACATGTAAATATTCTCCTCGTACATAACCTTGTTAATATAGTTATTGACTACAACAAGTCAATAACATGTAAATATTTTCCTCGTACGTAACCTTGTTAATATATAGTTAGTGACTATATAAAGAGTTGTTAGCCCATCATCACCTCATCAATTTTTATGAATTCAAACTTTCGTTCTAAAGTCGTATAATTTTTGGATTCATGTTCAATTTTGAAAACGAAAAATTCTCAAAAATAGCACTAATCTAAATTTTTCTTCCAAACTTAGCACACACTCTTATATTTTCCAAAATTAGCATTAACTTTTAAAATTAAACTTTAAAAATTAAATCCTTAAATCTAAAAAATAAATCCTACCTCTACAAAACTATACCCTAAGTGTAAAATAGTCAACCCAAACGTAAAAACAAATTCTAGAAAATTATTTAAAATATTATAATTATGTTAATTAGTGCTATTTTGGAAATTTGTGGAGTGTGCGCTATAATTGTCCATAAAACATATTTTGGTGTTATTTGAGGGTATTTCTCTTTTTAAAATTATCTTCTTCTCAGCTTTAAGATGTAATTTCATAAGGTTGAATACTTGTTTATGAACAAGTCCAAATTCCCGAAAAACATCTACATGGCTAACATGTAATTTGTAAAGAGATGTGGTGCTATTGTACATATGTAACTAGTCATAAATGTATAATGTTTGGAACCATATACATTGAACATATTCACCAATATGTTTTTACAAATTTATAGACACATCTTATTTACTAACATGCTACACAACGAACATGTAGCATGCAAAACCTATGAAAATTATACTAGTGCTTGTTATAAAATCATATGCTCTGGTGGGCTCCGTATATGTGTTTTTAATCCCAAATTTGTGTTTTCCTAATTGGCGTTAGCAATACTTTTATGTAAGACGATCCCATTGTCTAATATTTTCGGTATGGTACTTCATATTCCAATAGGAATTAACATTGTTGCCTCACATTTATTTAGTTGACTTTTATTTATTGATTTGAGGCTATAGTTGTAACAAACCAAACACATGTACATCGATCTGTTTTCTCCTATAAATACTTGTAGATCAGTAACTTATCAAATCATATTCAAACTTCAAACACATAATATATTGATCAAAGAAAGGGAAGCTCTATATCTTCCCTATTCTGATCCAGTTTCTGGTAATATTCTATCTCTCTTCAACTCTTGCTTGTTTTATTTAATCTATCTATATATGTGTATGCAAAAATCTATCCTAAATTGCTCTACCTTTTCTTGATTTTTTGTCCTTTCAGTATTATCATCGATGGCATTATCCGAAGATACGTTGTCGAAATGCTCAGAACACCTGAGTGCTTACAAATCCGCTTGTGAAGACCACCCAGAACTCAAAGCCTTTGATTATTCGCTTCAGCAT